GCGCATGTTGCTGTCAACAACATACGGATTGAATTCATCCTACACGAAGAAAATTCAAGTGGGTCTTATGACGGAAGACAACGTCGAACTGGATTTTCTACCTGCTGTTAAATTAACATCTCACGGAGCTGCAGGGATTTGCTTCGACATGGAATCGTGGCAAAAATTTCAAGAAAACATGGAAACGATGTCGAGCTACTTAAATGGTGATAAAATTAATTTGAGCTCGATCATCTTTAACAAGATAATTATAAATTTCACTACCGCATATGGTGCTAGAGCCATACTAATAACATATCGTGAAAACGAACAAGAAGATCTTTCTTCCGAAACTGCGGAGGATACGAACGAAAACGGACCGAAGGCGAAGAAACGTAAAACTTACAACATTGCGATAGTCATGCAGAGAACGACTTTTCAAGGTGTAGAAAATATAGTTAATTGTGTGAACGCTAATTTAAATCGTCTAAATTTTATTTCAACTAATGTCAACGAATGTGCTCGATATTTAATTAACGAAATACAGTTAAATCTTCCTGTCAACGGTAGCATTAATAGCAGTATCGTGAAACTCACGATCAGAGGTAACAGTAAGGAAATAGAACGTAATGTACGCACCCAACTGAAAGATTTAACATTTCTCGATGTATACTTCGAGATAACATTTTTAGAAATAATTTCACTTTATTTCGAACAAATTGTATATGCAATTATATCAAAACGTAAATTTTAATAATTATTCGACGAATATTTTTTGAAATGATTGTGAATAATTTTGTTCTGTAAAATATTTTAAATATAAATCATATTTGTACTTTTAAAACCATTGTTCAATTTTCTTTCACTTACTCTTTCCAGAAATTTCCTCAACATGCATGTTCCTGTTTACCTTCATTAAGCAGCGAGTTATTTTAAAATAAAATTTTATCTGACATCTTTCTAATCTACGACGATGTATTATTATTTTTTATCGTGACGCGAGTCGGAATGCTCGCCTGTACAAATATTTGCGTGTTCTTTTTTATTACCCTACGCCATTGTCAGCTACTACCTGCCACCGGTCGACCGCACGACGCTTTTCTTGGCCAAAATGTTTTTACCCCACCCCGTCTAATATCGACCATTTGATTCGACGAGCTATCCTTGCCATACGTATACCCGAACTGTTTTTACCCCACCCCCGTCCAATATCGACCATTTGATTCGACGAGCTATCCTTGCCATACGTATACCCGAACCCCCATGCCGTACTCTACGCAACTTTAGCTTAAATACCACATCTAATCCTTAGACTAGTAAGATCTCGTTTAGCTCAACATACTAGGACCCTGCTCGGAAACACGGAGGTCCCGGGTTCAAATCCAGAGAAAATCAGAAAAAAAAAAAATAAAAATTCTCATCCCCACCTTTCGGGGCCAGTCGCCATTTTTTTTCCCCCAACACCCTTTCCCCCTAACACCCACACTCGGAAAAGCCAGACGCCGGTGGTGGGGGAAAGATAAGATAAGACCCGGCGCCAGACGGGTCGGTGGTGGGGGTTTGTTTTGACGGGCCATACCTGCCATTATACTACTCTTGCGCATTCTCAAATGGTATATTCTTCAAGTATCTCTCGTTATAAAGAAGAGTTAGCTTTTTGACGTAAAAGATTAATATAAAATTAGTTAAAGGTTACCACATGCAATATATTACAGTTGAAAAAAACAAACAGTTACAGTATGATGCAAAGTTGTATAATTGAAGTAAGAGAAATCTTTTACTCGCTGGGGATTTAATCTGTTACTATAGAAAACACGGCACGATATCGTTGCTTTATCAAGCCGAGAAAATCTCATATCGGAAATTGTCTGTTGCGGAATGAATTATACGTTACGGGGTTGAGGATAATGAAAGAGGTACGCGAATCGAATTATCCACGAACGAAACGATGCAATTAACACTTAAATGGCATTTTCTAGTTATCATATTTATTAAAAAAGATTGCAATTAATTTCGTGAATAAATTTTATATAAAAAAGAAATATTTTTAGAATGCATACATTATAAAAATGAATGCATCACTAATTAAAATTAATGTAATGCAAATAATTTTAATTATTTAATTTAATTATTAGGTTATTAATAATTAATTATTAAATGATTAAATTTAAATATATATAAAATATATAAGTTATAATAATTCAAAAATCGACAATAATCTTGTTTAAATTTTTCGAATAAAGAATTGTTTGCACAACAGTGATCTTTAATCTGTACCAGTTCTATAGGGAATCAATGAACTATAACATGATAAAAATTTTCAAAATAAATTTGATTGAAATACAATATTATTTTGCTTGTTTGTAAAGTATTTTATTAAAATCATTAGTATCTTCATCATATAAAAACAATAATATTTTATATATATATATATATATATATATATATTATATCAAAGCTGTATATTATGCGATATAATATGAAAATATCGTGCATTGCAATTGTGTGCTTACAGTGAAGGCAATAAAATATAATAAGCTCATTTATCGTGCATAAAATATGTGTGCTTTCAAGCGATATAATATTTGGTACGTAAATTATTCTTATATAAAACGTTACAGAGAGAGGGAGAATAGATACTCATGATTCTATATAATACAAACACTAACAATAAGTGAAACATGTTAGTGCCTCGAAGTAAATTGCTTTCGACCGGAAGCGCGCATCGAATTATCAATACAAAGGACAGATTATTGTACGGGTCAATAATTACGGTGGAATCTAATCGACTGCTATTTGATTGGTAACCGTTTATCTTGCACGATTGAAACATGTTTGTAAGGATTGAATATCTACTTGAAACATTAACAATACAAAATGTCAATCAAAATAAAATTAGAATATAAAATCTATTGTGTATTTTCAAAATAAATCTTAAACTTTTTGTATGTGTGTGTGTGATATTTTTGATCTGGTTATGAAAATATATTGTATTATTATATTTCTATTAATTTTCCATGTATATATTCATTTTTATCTTTATAAAATATTTTCTAGATATATATGGTATAACATTTAGAATATGTAACACCCTCTTTATTATTTATTTTATATTTACTCATATATATATATATATATATACGAGAAACGAAATCGATTTTTGTATTTTGGTAATATAAAAAGTTACTAAGAATTCAAGTCGAACGATTTAGTTGAACGAAAAATCGGGTCTTTTCATCGAGAGTCAACGACTCTCGATCTCAATTAGTCGACTAAATCTTTGTTTTTTAACCGGTACAAAGGCATGCCGGTTTCGAAAGAATATCGTGTTTCTAACGCATGCCGATAATTACATGCGCTTGCGAGTCCGAGCACTTTAATGGTTTGTTGTCCGTTGAAAATTAATTATTTTACACCAGGAGCTGGTTGAGGCGTCGTTGGCGAGTGTATCGAAATACCTGTAGGACGACAGGCTTAGCAAACCGGAGAAAGGAAGGGCAAGGGGCAACTCAGAGGCAGGTAGGGTGAGTTGTATGGGGGTGGCGTGTAGTTGACGCTTTATCGGAAGAGCGCTTTTGTTAGAAAGTCAATACCTGTGAAGAGACCTGGGCGTTCACTTCCTGATACGCTCGCGTTAAAAAGTACACTTTTAGAGCACGCATAAAGCGCCCGTTTGATTTTCTGGCGGAAATGCTCTCTTCGGGAAAATTGCGAACGTTCTCGGGATCTAAGACGAGCCGGAAACGACGTAAAAGTTCGAGCGTTCGATTATCGATTTGCGCGACCGCGATTGCGTTGCTTCTTTTTACGATGATAATGTACAGGAAAACGATGCGAATTAAATTAACTTGCTGTAAGAAACATTTTCCCACAATCGATCTCATCTATGAAGAGAACATACACAACGTTTCATCCTTGATATCTCTCAGTGACCGTTCTCAACGGAATCAAACGAATAAATCACAGCTGTCAGCAACGAGATATTCACTGCTAATGCATTATGTATAATATTTTCTGTTGCCGATTCAATTTCGAAAAAAAAAAAAAAATATATATATATATATATTCGGCTCAAGGATCGCCTAAGAGGGATTGCTCGTGTCTCGCATCGTATCTTTTGCCGGCAATATCGCATTCTAAATTCGTCGATGAGATTCGTTATTTCAATTTCGTCGACCAATATCACTGCCAACAACATCAAATATAAATAGACTCGTTATTCATTTATTCGCCGCGCATGATTTATATACGTGCTAGAAGATAAATACAATTATTGAGCTATCTTATTTAATGAAGTTTTAAACAGATTGTAGACTTTCTATCGAATTTGTACCTGTCTCGTTCTCATATTGTTCTAATTACATACATAATACTAATAATTTTATTCGAATTAATAATATTGTATAAATATAAATGATTGAGAGATAAATTATTTTTAACAAAACGAAATATGAAAATGTGATAGACACACAATCACATTTTTCTCTACGATGAGAATGAAATATCTCTCAGGGTTAAAACTGCACAGTTTGACTCGCTTGTTGTATTTACTTTTAATTACAATTTACCTCACGACTTCGCCGCTTTTATCGCGCCTGCCGACCTTGCGCTGAAAAAGTGCTTCGGGGTGTCGTTGTACGCGAAACAGGCACTCCTCCTCTACCCGGCATTAAGCACTGTCGCCGTAGACGCTAATTTAAATACGACAAGAATTCCAGATTTCCTCGACGGAGGGTGAGAGTGGAGCCACTTTACTAACTAATACATAGGGAATGCAGATACGTATCGGACAGTGCGACGGGAGGTGGGTGGTGCGCAGGAGGGAATTGTTTTTGTCATGGGGGGCAATGGAAGTTGGCGGGACATAGGACTATGAGAAAGAGAAGGGAATGGAGAGGAGGGGAGAGAGAAAGCATAGAGATGGTCGAGAAACCGGGGTTGATTCGGCTACGCAGCGCTGCCGCGGCCGACCCGGGAAACTCGGACGGGGTTGGTCCGAAAGCTCTCTCAGTCGCGGACAAGCCGCCACGCAGTGATAACACCTTATATAACGCGGGCAACTTAAATCCGATCCGCGTGTGTCACTAGACTTCTGATAAGAACGTAAGTTTGTTAGTGAGAGCATGGACGTATTAATTCAATCTATTAATCGGAGTATCAAAGATACTATTAAATTGTGTTGAACAAATGATCGATAATCGAATACAGGTTCCACGTGGTGGAATACAGGAATCGGAGATACGGTTGGACCATTGTTACGAAAATTGCGACTTTTAGTTGTATCATTAATTTTGTACGTCTTGTGTCTCAGCTTCTTGTTCTGCGATGTATCTCCGGTGATTATTTTATGCTCGAAACGAGTAAAACGTTACGCAAGCGCCAAGCAATTAAGGACGTGTTGCGGTTTTCACGTTTTACCAAAGGGTTGGTACACATCATCTGGTAGTAATTGCATCTAATGTACAATCGCGACTAACGAGAAACCGTGTTCTTATTTCATTGAGGTGTTATACTGCTATCGGGATACCGTGTACTGTGTCATATTTGGCGAATTAAAACGTTTGTCTCGTTTTAATCTTCATATCTTTACATTTATGTTTTTTTTATATCGCTAAAAATTTGTACATATATTTGAATAAAATTATGTCAATCTTATAAATCTTTTTAATATTTCAACTGTCATAAAAATGTTTGATTCATATGAAAAATGTCATATAAAAATTTGAATTATTTGAATTTTTGAAAACAATATGAATCTAATCAATTGATATATAACAGATATAAAATTTATATCCGTGCAGAGTAATATCTTTATATTTTAATATTTAATTTTTATGTATTGATAAAGACTGTAGTGCAGTCGAAACGTTACAATTTATATCGATTCTGTAACGGAATGTTAATTTAATGATTAACTATTAATAAAAAAAATTTTTACATCTTATTTATTTGTTCGTTTAGTTGGCCTACTATATATGATTGTTTAATTTTGTTTAATATCTTTTTCTTTATTTCTGACAACTAAAGCAATACTTGTGCAACAAAAATGAAATATTATCCAGTTCAAAGGATCGAAATAATGTAATGAAGAGATAGCGAGACGTGACAGATTTTCCTAGGTACATATGGAATTCTCTTTGAGTCGGACGTGCTAACAATATAATGGCTTGGTTTTTGGCAACCGTATGAGGCGGTTAGTTTCCAGTTGACCGTGCGAAAAGGTAGTTACGAACTTTATGATTACGCGGCACGAGCCGGATTGCTTCATTCGTCGATTACATGCAAGCTCACAGACATAATTCACAAAGTGTTGTAACAAGGGCGGATTGCGTGCAACGATATCTCGTTTTCAGGATGATTTTATATGCGTGAAGAATACATCATTGTTTTTCCGCCACTGTTTTACCTCGAAGAGTTAACATTGCTTTTTCTTTTCATTTAACTTCGTGTTATAGGATAAGTTTGTTAACGAAATCGCAAAACAAGCTTATTATTCACGCGATGGCTATATCAAACAAAAGGCAAACGTACTTTTACGAGGAGGTGAGAACGAGAGTGGGTACACTTATCATTCGGGGCGTTTGGGTCGTCTCCAATTTCTGGCATTGCGGACGTTGCGGACGGAAAGGGGGTCACCAACGCAAAGTGCAATGGCATAGCGCGACGAATGAAAAAGATTTCGCGTTTAATAGCATTTCGCGACGTGCCTGCGACAGTCGTTAAATATTCATGCCAACTGGACACTGAGACTTGCACGCAGCTAAATTATTTATGATTCTTTTATGTTGTAATCGAATAAAACAACAAAGCGAAAGTTGCACGTACAAAGGTAGCAGATTGGAATATATGCGCGTATTTTTTTAAAATCTTGTTAAAACATTTGTGAGTTGCTGCAATTATTGTTGCAATTTTATTGCTTTTTTTTTGCATAATTGATAAAGATAGAGAATTAAAATTTTATCTCATATATAGATATTAATCTACGAAGCATATGTCAATACTGTTTTCGAAAAATATTATTGTTGACTTTTTGAATAATTTGTTGACAAGTATTTCATCGAGCGAGTTGTAAAACAAAAACTGTAATTTAATGGATAACATCGTAATTTACGAAATCAAATTACAAAATTTTACGATATATGTGTCAACTCATAAAAACGATTTTTTTTCAATTCTTTCATTTTTACATTCTCAAATTAATATTACCATCTTTGTTCTATTCGAGTTACGCATTTGTTCGTGTAACCATTCTCACGTAGAATTGTGGCTTAGTTGGCTGTGGTAAAAGGGTTCGACAAATTTCATTCTCTATAGTCCTTCACAACCATTGCAACCGTCGATTGGTTGCAAAAGTTGTGCAACCGCGTGTGTCTTAACGGCCGGAAAGCTGCCACGTAACCATCGAATTAGAGCGACGATGAAAGACCAATTCCCGGGTAATCGAACTAGCTCTCGCTTCCCGTTAAGCTTCCGTACGAGACGTTATATTGCTTCATCTCTCGAGTTCGACAGAAATTCCCGAGTTGCGCCGAAACGAAGCGCGCAGTTGGCTTTTTCTCATCTCCCCTTTAACTTCTTAACGTCGAAGCATCGTTCGTCAGATACATTGTATCCTCTCTCGATTATTCTTGCGTAACGGATGAATGTATCTCGTTGCAAAATTGCGATCATCTGTTATCTTAAATAAATTTTAATCGCATTTTGATCGATTAATTGAAACTGCAGATATTGTTTAATTATTTCAAAAATTTGAAAATAAATACAAATGTAGAAAATAAATATATCGCGTTAATCAACGTATTAGCTAATACATTTAAAGCAAGATGTATGTGTTGGCGTAATACGAATCTAACGCAAATGTGGTCATGCCTCTTGTCGTTAGTTTAATACGTCTTCCATATATTTCTGGTTTCGTACTACTAGCCGAATGTATAGCTAGCTATTTAAACTTTCGGTCAACGGAGAAGTAGTTAAAGTTAGGGAAATTCGGATAACGCATGTGTACTTTAATTAACACGCATACGTATAGGAAGTTCCTCAGGTTATTAAGTTCTGTCGTCTGGAAATTGGATGTACAAATTCAGCAATGCTCATCTGATGATGCTATATATCTACATTTATATCTGCATATATTCATATAAATTCTTGATTTGTCATGAAATATAGTCATTCAGAAATATAGCCAGAGCGAGCTAATATCAACGAATGGCCTCCAATTATTATAATCTTTTTTTGTCAGAGAATAATTGTCGCGTTGGTTTATATTTGCATTTTATCAAATTTTATATTTTGAAATATGAACATTATTTTAAAAATAAATTTTACACAAAGATATATATATATACAGGGTAGGCCATTTTAATCTTTCCACTAAATTTTCATTCTCTAAAGTCCTTCACAAACCATTGCAAACGTCGATTGGTTGAAAAGTTGTACCGCGTGGTTCTTACGGCGGAAAGCTGGCCACGTAACCATCGAATTAGAGCGACGATGAAAGACCAATTCCCGGGTAATCGAACTAGCACTCGCTTCCCGTTAAGCTTCCGTACGAGACGTTATATTGCTTCATCTCTCGAGTTCGACAGAAATTCCCGAGTTGCGCCGAAACGAAGCGCGCAGTTGGCTTTTTCTCATCTCCCTTTAACTTTCTTAACGTCGAAGCATCGTTCGTCAGATACATTGTATCCTCTCTCGATTATTCTTGCGTAACGGATGAATGTATCTCGTGGCAAAATTGCGATCATCTGTTATCTTAAATAAATTTTAATCGCATTTTGATCGATTAATTGAAACTGCAGATATTGTTTAATTATTTCAAAAATTGAAAATAAATACAAATGTAGAAAATAAATATATCGCGTTAATCAACGTATTAGCTAATACATTTAAAGCAGAGTATGTGTTGGCGTAATACGAATCTAACGCAAATGTGGTCATGCCTCTTGTCGTTAGTTTAATACGTCTTCCATATATTTCTGGTTTCGTACTACTAGCCGAATGTGTAGCTAGCTATTAAACTTTCGGTCAACGGAGAAGTAGTTAAAGTTAGGGAAATTCGGATAACGCATGTTGTACTTTAATTAACACGCATACGTATAGGAAGTTCCTCAGGTTATTAAGTTCTGTCGTCTGGAAATTGGATGTACAAATTCAGCAATGCTCATCTGATGATGCTATATATCTACATTTATATCTGCATATATTCATATAAATTCTTGATTTGTCATGAAATATAGTCATTCAGAAATATAGCCAGAGCGAGCTAATATCAACGAATGGCCTCCAATTATTATAATCTTTTTTTGTCAGAGAATAATTGTCGCGTTGGTTTATATTTGCATTTTATCAAATTTTATATTTTGAAATATGAAACATTATTTTAAAAATAAATTTTACACAAAGATATATATATATATACATACACCAAATATATATGTATATGTGCATATATACAATAAAGTTACAAAATTCTAAATTTAATAAAAATTTAATAAAAGTTTCTAAATTATTAAAATTCTCTCTCTCTCTCTCACTTTTCTATATAAGTATTTTCTTAAAAGGTTAATAAAGGTTTAAAAGGTTTAAAAGGTTCTGTTGTTAATTGCACTGTCAATCATTCATCGAAGGAAAAAGTTTGAATGATTAGTGTAACTGATTACCGGCTCAGTAAGGTCCATTAAATCTTAAAATCTCTCGAATTTCGAAGCCTGAAGGCTTGTCGTAATCGAGTCACTCCACGGTCAATCTTAAACTACTGAATTATACGAGTGACTCTGTGGCACTCGCGCTCCGGCACTTTAATCCGAGGGACTTGAGAGTGCACCTGCTAGACGGCAATGGTATATCTCTCAGGTTGCGAACTTCGGGTTAGCTTGCGAGAGAGACGAACGTAAGAAGGATGCGGGGGAAGGAAGAGAGGTGGTAGACCCAATTACATCTCGTTCGTGCAGAATTGGACGAATACATACAAGATGCTTAAGACGCTTTAACTACCTCGGGATTTGTACCCACATTCTAACTGTCGAGATTCGTTTAAGTACCCTACGCTGGACTTTCGTCGGTTTCCGAGGATTGCCATCGACCCATAAATCCGTTTCCACAAACTCTGAATTTTCGCTAAATAGTTTGTTTAATTATAATTTTCTACTTGGATGTAAACATAATTATTTTTTATAATTCTTACAATTTTATCAGTTCGTGGTTATTCAATTATTTGTTTGTTTTTCATTGGCTGCTGTTTGTATAAATAAAAAAAAATACGTAAATTTACAAACGCTGTTAATTTAAAAATATATATAATTGCTCTGTAAATAACTAATCGATTGAATTTATCAATTGTGCATTTAATACAAGCGACCTTTCTTTATCTTACAGGACGCAACAGATAGAAAAAAGCTACCTTTTTCCGAGACGATAACGAATCGCTCGGGATGGAATCTGAACAGCGATGAAAGAAATTCTATAAGATTGAAGAGCCAAGATTAACCAGCTGTTAATACTCATCACTGCTTCGCGTTAATGGAGCGCAGCCTATGGAAAGGGATGCGATGACACGCTGCCAACCAAAGACGAAGGTTCCTTAAGACGGGATTAGAAGGCTGCCTAAAACCCAAGTAAACTCCTGTCTACATCTTAGATCAATTAAATCATCGACGTGAGCTTCTTGAATAGCTTCAAACTTTGCGTACTAGATTCAGTGTCGCGCACGAAATCTGTGAAAATTGAAAATTGTGATTTTATACATGATAACGAATCTGCAAAGAAGAAAAAAATTGTGAGAAAGAAAACCGCCAAATTGATCCCGGATGATCAAAGGATCGCCTGTTGAGGACAGATTTATTCTATGTCCTGCGAATTTTTGAGAGGTCGATTGTCGCGGTGTAGAGATTTCATAAATGATATGCTCGTCGGTGAATTAAAGCGTGTACCTGGGCCAGTAGTTCGGACAATCGATAATGCCGGGTCGTAAAACTTCGCGCGAGGCACGCAGCAGTGTCTGATAAATAATGCAATTCTATCGGATCGGTCGATGTTTCGGGGTGTGAAGCAAAAAGCGTTGGATCACCCTTGGTGCTGAGAGAACCTCGAAACGTCTTACAACGTGAATTACAACACGGACTTTGTATTGTGTGCATCGATTTCGTGAAGTTGACTTGAAGTGCTTGATCTTCGCACGAACTAGAGACGAGGGTTAACAGGTACGTGTATTATCTGAGATAAGTGATCGTGCGTGCTACACGAGTGTTCGAGAAAGTGCGGATTTCCTTAATTTTTTTTTTTTACGGACCAAGCCAATTTCTAACATAACGTCATCGCGAAACAATTCGTGTGACAGTAAATATATAGTGTCGAGTCTGACAAATATTTGTCAGTGCTTTTTCAAAATCGTGTTGTTTAACGTGCGACGAAGCGCCTCATCGTCATTCAGAAAATTCATTGTTCGACGTAAAAATAAAAAAGCGACTTTCCATATTGACACGCCGATGTCAAACAGAACTCATGCATATACGTGTTAGAACATATAAATCGTTGCATATAAGTAATTATAATAATAATTTACGTAATAGTTCAGATACGAAGTCGTCTAAAGTGCAAGCCTCGCGATAATTACTTTTTTGAATGTGAGAAAGGAAAATCAAATTATCTCTAACTCGTAAATAGAAACGTACAGCGAATAAATCTCTACGATAGCTCTATTTATCAAAATAACAAAATCACATGAGTTTCTTTAGTATAACTGTGAAGAATTCTTTCGTGCACAAAAATTTGTAAAATCGCGGAAATATATGGGCGAAAAAAATACGACGGGATTCTCGATGTCGCTTTAGATTCGAGAAAGTCAATCTCCTTTCGCGTGTTCCGATAATTCTGGACGAACCAGAATGCGGGTAGTGCCGCGTGTGCTTCGTTAAACTGACAGTAATCGTCAACCGCGTGTCACAAACTCGTACGTGGTAAAGCGAGTGTTGGCAAATTAGATTCCGGCGATGCACTTACGATGACATCGTTTTGTGATTTGAACACTTGAGCATCAACGCACGTGTGAAAATTGGACTCGTCTTTCACGAGCACGATATTGCGCATTATTACAGGAAGAAAATCTTATTAAAGAGAAGTTGGAAAAAAAAACACATCTCTAAATTAGTCATCATCTTGAAGAAAAAAAGTTCGTATTGAGTGTAGAAAGAAAATCGGAAGGACAATTATTATTCGTCGACGTAAGAGTATCACAGTCGTTATCAAAGCATTCGGCCATTGATAGGTTTGTCGATTCATTGGAATATTCCACGCGAGAGAGGTATCATATAGGAGGAGTATCTCTCTGGAAAAAAAGAGCATCGCGCCCGCGCTATCGAGGAGTTGTTTCAAAAAGAACATTCGATCGAAAAACTCGCGCGCGTGGTCGCGATCGCGGAGAGTTATCACTGGAAAAACGATAATCGATCGACAGTCGACGATTGTCGCCGCGGGGCAAATGGCAAACCTTATCGTAGTCGACATGTGATATATCGCGCTACGACGAACGAGTGGCGCGATTGGCTGACGAGAGAATGACGGTGACGTGTATGTCGTTTACGGATGTTGTTCAGTGCCGGGATGCTGTAGTGAGTAACTGTCAGTAAAATCGACGCGAGTGCGGGACAACGAGATCGGTTTCGTCGTCGTTATTCGCTGGAAAGAGTGAGAACAGAGCCGGTCGACATCACTTGGAGAAACACCCAGCATGAGGGATCATCGAGGAGGATGGCTGCGCGCCATGCTGCTGATAACGTTCCTCTCGCATCAGACGGGTGAGTGCCATTCTATTTTTATATTTGTTATTCGGTCTCTTTTGCAAGAATCAAAGACGATTGAGCTGCGCGAGATTTTTTTACGTCACTTGTCGCTTAATCGCATCTCTCAATCGTGAATCCATTTTTATGATACATAAATCGTTTTATGATCAGTTGGAGAATCTATCATAAAAAAGATATAGAAGTCTTCAAAGTTTAAAATCCTGTATTTTTAAAGATATATGTTTGAAACGTGTTTATAATATAAATTATTATATTAATAAATTTATATAGAAACATAATTTTAATAAAATATCGTCCTTTGAGAATAAAACAGTATAACATATAGGAAATTAAAGACATATTAATTATATAATTAATATTTAGTTTTAGAACGCTTTTTTGAATTATAAATTGAATGTTCAGTAATTCAGCAGAATTTAGTGGTTGAATGAAGTAGATGATTACATCGATAATCAGAATTTAAAGCCAGAGTTTCAATAATTAGATACAAATATAAATATGTTTCAAACATCTGAATAAAATTCGGTGAGTATAATTTAGTCTAATGATTCAACGAATATTTTTTATTATTTCTTGTTGACTTAAATAAATTTAAAACGGTGTAACGACACTATCGCTCATTCGAATAAAACGCGAATGTGTCAGTAAAGTGGGCCACACCGACACGACATATTGTCTTCTAACACACACTCACATGAACGTGATTATATCGAAATGTATATTACTCGTACGAGTAAAATATTGTAGGGAGATTTAACTTTTCGATGAGGTATTGCGTTTTAATGAGCCACGAATAATCGGTGGTTTTTATATGATGTGGTCTATATTAACAGATTTAACGCGATACATTTTTTATTGCGATAGAAAGCACAAGTTTGTTTTGTAAAATATTTTTCGCAGACATCGATAATTAATTTTGACGTTTAATAATATTTTGCGGTTTAGTTGGCCGATGAGTTAATCCATTCCCACCTACAGAAGTTATTGGCTAGTTATTTATAATCTAAGTTGAACTTGCGGTTATCAGAGATAGCAGTGCTCTTCTTCTCTTTATTAAAAGAGAGAATAAAATATCATTGATAAAAAAAGTAGCACGTTAACATTCTGTTGACATTCTACATGGCATAAGACAAATTCTAAATATTATTCGTCCATAATTATAAAATGAGAGAGAGAGAGTAGCCGTTCTTAATGCAGATATTCTTAAATACCGCGGCCCATTATTGAGATGATTTTCAATGAATAGACTCATGAATAAAGCGCTTTAAGCAAGCTCGCTTGAGATCGTTCGACGAAAGGCAGTCTGCCAATAATTTCAGGGTGCTTTATCGACATACCGAATTATTCATAATTCACTGTATGTATTCTGAATTGCATTAAATCGAGAACAGTCAGTAAGAGCAACGAACAATTTGACTGTTGAGATCAAGAGCATCAAATTATTCTGATACCAAGTTGTGTTTTTTTTGCAATTTTGTCAAATAATTTACGCATCACGATTTACTTGAATTATTCGGTATTTTTCTTGCAAATGGCTCAAAGTTTGAAAAATAATATAAAATTTGATATTTATAATATTCCTTAAAGAAGATATCGATCGGTTGACGGGTTGGACATATAACGGAAATTCACTCGTTCGTCATAAACACGCTTCGCGAGTGAGCTGTATATAAGTTATTACCTGAAATTTTGCTACGTCCAGGAATGATGAATAATATAGGGCTATAATGTTACATGCACACAACATAGTCTTTCCGTTATACGGAAATTCTATTTACGGCATTTTCCTGTATCGTAAAATTGCATTTTGGACAGAAATTTCTATCAGACATTAAGAGTATATATTTTACTTTATATTACGTCGAGAACTTATATAACAAAATTAAGAATACATGTCTGATATTTTTATGGCGTTTAAAATTAATTAATTCATTACTTGTTTTATGTCTATATGGATTAAAACTAAATATTGAGATAAATTTTCGAGCTTGTTAAATCCCAAATAAATAGATAGATTTATGGTGCATTTGTATGTATAAGTAGAAAACTTTACGATAATTCCGACACCGTTGAATCTCGAAAAACTAAATCGAATTAGACATGTTTTGTAATTAACGCGTCTTAATTCTGCTAGCTGTTAGCTTAGGGAAAATAAACATCGCCCGAATTAGTAGAACAAATTTCCTTCGTTTCCCAGCGGCGTTCTCTCGCTCCTTCGGATGACTTTCATCGTATGCTACCTCTCGCCCTGAGGATCGAGGAAAGCGAGGTGTCTGGAAATTTCATCGAGCAAGCGTGAACTTTCTTACGAACGTCACGGAAAATTGAATTTTTAAGCGACAGGTCATTTGCGAGTAGTCGACTGACTCTAATTTCGCGCGTTGACTCGCCTGTGTGTATTTTCCGATTTCATAGCGACTTCTGGACGCCTCGCTATTGAACGGAGGTTAATTACACAACTGTAATATACGCCGTTACCTAATTGAAAAACGATTCTGGAAAATAGTGTTGCAATTTTGTCTTAATCCTGGAATTTTCCGATCGCTCGAAAGCTTTGTCTTAATTTATTTATTCGTAGAATTATATTATTATAAATTGTCATATAGAGATTACAGAAAAGAGCTACGGTTTTATTTATAATAAACCATATTTAAAAAATATCAGTATAATTAGAATTTATTCGAAAGAGATATTTCTCCATTGAAAAAGGTGGTATAAAAGTATATTTATCACGTTGAAATGAAAGGGATGACAATTCACCGCGCAATGAGAGACGTAGAAATATAAATTGCTCTTTTATATCAATGCACGAGATTTACATCAATCTGCAGACAATTACTTTTATCTCGCGATTCCCGTAATTTACTTTGGTTTTTGCTTGCTGCTGCCACATAAATTGATGAAATAGACAGAACGGGCAGACAAGAGAATTAATTTTATAAATGACTTCAGCTCGGCTAATTTTGGCAACGTTACTCAAATTTCTTCTCGTATAACGATCGATTCGCGCAATATAGGTAATTGCACATAATGTTGTCCGACCGCATCGATAGTTCGATATCCTTCTTGACGAGCATCGCGACCGAGAATTATAGATATCGAGCGGGTGTGTAACACGTTTGTGGAATGCGGTTGATTGTAAGTCGGGAAGCCAATTTGCCAAACTCGAGTTTGTCGCGAGGGAAGGGAAATAGCGGAGATACCACAAGAACGTCGCGGTGTTCTATTGAAGTTGTAATCGATGTTATTATATACCCTACCTGTCGGAGGTGGCCGCGTATCGTGGATTTGCACACCGTGGCATCATCAGTCGTCTCACACATCACCTTTAAACGAGAGAGCGTTAAAATTAATTGCACGCGCGTTATTAAACTCCACGTGAGTCGGCGCGACTAAACTTTTGTGCACCCGGTGAATATATATCATTTCTCGAAAGCATTAAACTGAATTTAGAGACCCGATGCTTAGTGATGGCCGTACTTTGTAAACGGCAGAAATAGCAGCTTTATTGAATTGAATTGATATTTCATAGCGCGTGATTTATTCAATAACTCGATATAGATACTCTTGGAATAATGTAAAAATTCAAAGAACGTCGAGAAGATTATCCGAGAAAGAGCAAAATATTCCTTCAAAAATTTATGTGACATCTGATATTTTGCAGATACTTTGTTATTCGAGTATCTGTCTCGCAATCTCATTTTTTGCCGATAATGAAGATGCAGTTTTAATTTTCTTCGTCGCCGAATATAAAATGTTCACGGTGCCTCCGGGAGGATTCTTGGTCTATATTCTATATCTTATATCGTAGCAAATGCCGAAAAATTGAATTGCGTTTGGCACGGTCGAGCAGTAAATCGAAACTTCCCGCAGAGAGATCTCCGTACATACAATCGAACAGACGAATTACTAGGTAGAGAGAACGTAAACCATTACTATTGGGCTTATCAAAGTGATTCACGTGACTGGCCGACGGCATTATGCAAATGAGCCATAAAATTATCGTAGCCTTTAGGCATCGCCAGACAAGGGGATACCTGAACTTTGCGTTATACGTGATGAAGCACGTTCTGCGACTGTAGCAACTGCATGTGTTTCAAAAAGCAAAGATTATATAATAATTCTCCATTAGATAATCATGCAAACTGAGTTTGTCTTTGAATTATTATTACTCGCGAGTTAGCATTCAACTGTAGTACAAATCCCGCATCTCGTAATAATGAATATTAAACCAACAACAGTCGCGTGTTTAAAAATCGATATTGTTATTATTAGAGTAAAATACATATCTACTTTTGTAAACGCAGTTTTCTTCAGCGCAAGAAACGATGTTCTCAATTTATATCAGAATAGTAAGATAAATATTATGAAAGCAAATAAAAAAAATATCTTGCACGAGATTGCAGTCTGTTTGTATCGAGAGTTGGTTGAAACATAAGAATCAAAGATATCGGCGGGCAATATTTTTTCCCGGTGTTATAAACAGTAGCAGAGACGATCGATGATTTAGCTAGAACGGATAAGTGGTGGCAATCTCCGTTCGCGGTACCTCTTAGCGAAGTTATCAATGTCTTCATTCTCCTTAACTCGATGCGGAGTACAGGAAGCGATTCCTCCAATGGCCGTCGAGAATGTGTCCGGTAAATTTATACGCGCAGACAGCTGCTGTAACGAGAAGGCGGATCTATATCAACCCCTAGAAAAGATTACATAGTCGAAGAGAGCAATGCCCCTAAAATAGGATTCAAGATTTTCGACGACGATGCCGCGCAATCGAGATTGTGTGTGCGAGCGTGGCAAAAGGATTTTCTGTCATAAACAGAGAGATCGGCACACACGTGCGCGCGGGAATAAACTCACCCTCTTTAATGCATCCATTGGTAAACGAACGACTTTTAATTATCCCGCGGTAATATCGTTTCACGATGATAATACTGTCGATAGAAGGAATCTCGATATACGCGATCGTGTATATTTCACATTTGCACGGCGCG